GAGGTTTTGCTGGATGGATCTCTTTGTATTTTAGGGTCATTCCATATACCATGATGTCCGACGTTTCGCACCTCATGCTAGGAATTCTTGAAGAAGCTCCCAGCTCATGGTGTCACACTTTGGATATAATTCCAGATGTTTACCTAAAAAAATCCTCACCGAGTTTCATGGCTTCTTTACAAGAGGGTCATGCAAGGTGTTCGTAGGAGGGTCATGCAAGTTGTTCGTAGGAGGGCGCGATGATGCAATGTTTATTGCAATTGAGTACAGTAATTTGCGGAAAATGTAAAAAATTTGGCAAATTTGGACCATGACGCCGGCACACAATGGGCAACTTTCGCAATGGCGTCACTGGATCTTTAACGTCCTCTGCGAAGCAGATGGCACGTATTATTACGGTTAAAACACCCGCAGGATTAATCAGGACAGCACAACTGCTAAAAACCCACGCCGTTGCTCTACGACCTCTGGCACACAAACCGTGTGAACCCAGAAAGTGTCTCCATGCACACAAAGTGGCTCCACACGTCACCTTTAAACCAGCAGCACCACGACTTCTGGTGTGCCCCCCTGGATGGCCGCACCGTTTTCTCTAATCCAGTGTTTCTCAAACCTTTTAGGTCCGCGGACTACTCAGCCGATGCAAACATTTCCGCGGACCACCCAGCCCCCCATCGCTGGTGACAAAACGCATTTACTTGTCTCTCAATACCAAAAATACTAAATTATTCATGTTACGGGAGAATCAACACTTTTTTTATTGGGGGGTTGGGGGGGGGGCATTTAAGTCTCAGGGTAGTTTAATCAGGGTAGTTAATCTAACTTCATTTTAAATTTAAATATCACAAGTAAACATTTTAATGCCCGAAACAAAACATATAATAAACATTGTCATTTTTCCCCGCATCAACCTGCATTTGCGTCACAGCCCCGCGGAGCATTTGGAGGGCCGTCGCAGACCACTGGCGGTCCCCGACCCACACTCTGAGAACCACTGCTTTCATATAATCCTCACAGGGGCAACTACCGTATTGCAATACCCAACAATGACCTTACTCTTCCTGTCCACGTTTCACTGTTTCACTTTGGGGCATCAGATATTATGCCCAGCAATACGCGGTACAACGCAAAAAAAACACACAAACATGAGAGTGTAAGCATGTACTAAGAGGGTAAAGCAAGTGCTTGATCAGGACCGATTTGGCACATGTTGGGTTAGAAGTCTTATATTTTTTTTTACCAAACACCACTTTGTCACACCTTCACACCCTGGTGTCTGCAAATGCCAGGGCAGCTGGCATGCATTTCAGATCCTCAATTTGTACCTGGGAGAGCTACATGTGAAAAACGACACTGGCTTGTAATATTACTTCCAAAGTCTCAAAGGTCAGACTTGGGCATGGTGTATTAGCATATTTGTAGTCGTAAATGCATCAATTGTAACGGATTATAGTGTGGTGCATGTACTGCCATTTTCGTAAATCCACTGCTGGATGAGGGCCTCCCCCATGCTGTGGTGGGTCATTGAGTATGTTTTAGCATACTTCACCATGCTGGTCAGTTCGGGTTGATAAATGTCGATATTATTGATTCGAATTATCATCATAAATTACCCACATCTTTGTATATTATCTCCATGGGTCTCAATGCCCAACATTTGAAGGGTGCCAGAGCTGATTGAGCAAAACGAGGATGAGCACAGTTGGCTACGTACGGTGTGAAAGAAGTTACAACGTACATAATAACATTACCGTACATGGTGTATTCACCAGATGCAGTGCTGTACAGTTGACACGTATATGTTAATTCATAAGGAACTTCGCAAGTCACATTTTACAGTGAGAAATGAGATATAGATACAAGTCCTGGTAATGGTGCACTGCTCATTGTTTCTTTTCAGTTTTAATCATTTTTGCCTTTCAAGGATGCGTTCAAAAGACTACTACAGCACTAGTTACCAGTGGCAACCAATGTCTTGGGATACAAAAAAGAGAGTTTAAAATGTCATATTTTTATTCTTAGGTTTTTTCGGTAAAGTCACGTAGGTAAAAAATGTAAATTAATAAAAGTAAAATAAAACAAAATAAAAAATCATGATGTTTCGGAAGCAACACAAGCCTCTGTCTTCAGGTGGAACCGTCACAGCCACGACAGCTGTATCAAGTAAATGAGAGATCACAAAATGAGAGATCACATGTCATATTTTGCACGTTGTTTAACTTCGTCATGCTGCTTTGCTCGTATTCTGGTTTGTTGATTTTATTAAGACAAATCGCAGGAGTGCAATAGACAACACTACACATGCAACTTATTTATAGCATAGATCTCTTCCCCCCCCCCGAACCCAATAGACGAATAAACCATCTCGCTACTAACGTGGATGATTGTAGTGTCAAACAACATCCAGGAGTATTACATGACATCATTATTTAAAATTGAACACAAGTAATTTATGTAGCAAATGGAGTGCGTCACTCTATGCCAACATTTATCTATGTTGAGCTGTATGGTTTTTGTTTGAAACACAATCAATACTTTATTTAAAGGGCATCAGTCAACCAATCAATCATGTAAGCTGGAGAGAGTTCATTGAGACTACATGTTGTATCTTTTGCAGGGAAGCCTCGTGCTAAGGCACATAGATTAGAATTGCAATGTGCAAAATAAAATAAAAAACCTCTCGGCGACAAAAAAAATAAGCCAAAAATTGAAACGTAACATAAAAAAACAATGTAAGTCTAATATATCGTATATGAAAACACTTAACAAATGCTAAATTACATTAAAAACCTACTCACCGTATTAAAAATAAGCCATCACAACAAGTTATGCTGTGGCTCAACATATGCTATCCAAAGCAATACAATGAAAATGTTAAATATAAACCCATAAAATGTCATGAACAGAACACAAATACAGAAAACCTAAGCAGTAATTAATTACTGTCGTTTAATACAGAACAACACAACATCTGTACACAACACGCACGTTATACTTAATCACGATTGATGAGATATAAAATGATGCTTATGTTTATGAAAACCCAGTAATCTAGCTACAATGGCTGCTTTGCCTGAGGAAGTTCTTACGTTCGGTTCTCAGTTGGAGAAAATCCCAAACAACGTTATGCTTTAACGAAAAAAAACCTTTTTTAAAAACACGCTTTAATGAAATGTACCCCACTAGTAATGGAAGAACTCCACGACTCCAGTAATAGTATTGTGATCAGTATGACATAAGTATGTCATACTGATGACAATACTGGGTTAAAATTGAGTTACAATATTTGAGGATACAACAACGACGACAACAATAGACTGAGCGAGTTAATAAAAAGCGTGTACAAATAATTAGCTCATATTTGATCATCATTACGAGATGCTACAGTGACCCCCTCCCCTCCCCACCGTGTTACAGACAGAAATGCTGCCAGAGATCATGGCACCAACACTTTCCAACTCGGGGAGCGAAATGAATGGCAAGCACGTGCTGGGGTAGCACCCAACCTGGGGTCACACGAGGGGGGGGGGCGGGTGGGAAGAGGGTGGGGGCTGGTGGGTGGGGGGAGGAGGGTGGGGACTCTTAGCCCCGCCCCTCAAGCCCGGTAAAGGGGGAGGGGGAAGACGAGGTGGGCGTGTCTTATGACACACCTCCCTCTCTTTCGCCCTCTCTCATTGGCCCATGGCGTCGTTACGCCTACGCATTCGTGCAAGTCGCCGCGCCATTGGCTGTGACCGCCCGTGGCTCGCGCCAGTGATCCGCTCCGCTATTGGTGGAGAGCGGCATTCGGAGTGGTGGTGAGGTTGGGGGGGCGGGGCTGGGCGGTGGTGGTGGTGGGCGGTGGAGGCTGAGGCGGCGGTGGTGGCGGCGGTGGTCACTGACGACGCGGGGTCGGGACGGGGTCCCCACCGCCTCCGCCTCCTCCTCTTCTTCTTCTTCCTCCTCCGCCTGCTCCTGCTCCTCCTCCACGCTGACCGAAGGCACCGGCATGCTCGGCGAGAGAGCGACCCGGCCGAGCAGAGACGCGTGCGGCTTCCTGGAGGTGAGTGTCGCTCCGTGCCTTGCGCGATGTTTACGTGGGAGCCGGGGGGGTTGCTGCTGCTGCTGCTGGTGTTGTTGTTGTGGTTGTTGTTGTTGTTGTGAAGTGGTCAAGCGAGGTTGCTTGCCCTGCCGACCTGGCCTCAGCGGTAGTGTGGTGTTGGGTATTTAGTGTCTTTGTTTTGTAAGTGTGCACGCCGGTGTGTGAGCGGGCGAGACGGCCTGTCAAGTGTTGTGGGAACAACCCAAGTCTCCCACAATTGACAATTTCTTTTTAAAAGCCCGACAACCCTGACAATCCACAACCTGCGTTCCGCAAGCCCATGTGGCCATGTAACAACTTCACCCATCACGGAGCATTAATTACTGTGGTTTAGGCTCGGCTCACGGGGCAAAAGTGGTCCTCATTTGCAGAGCGAAGAATTGTTTTGACGTGTTGCGTAGGTTGACCGGGCTCACGGTGGAAGATGTGCACTTTGCAAACGCTGCGGGAATTTGACGGAAGTAAGTTGACGACGTGAACAGATTATAACTGAGAGTGGTGGTGGCGGCAGTGGTGTTTATGACCTCGGCAACAACAAAAACCAGAGGGACATCGGCCCCGAAATGTTATCGCGCGACGCGTTTTCACTTCTTACATAGCCATAGAATTCATCGCAGAGTGGCTGTAATGTTTGACGTGCGATTTGTACGTGACTGCCAACTTGTTCTTTCTTTCAGTATCCAACGCATTTTGGAGATTTAAAAAAAAGCCCTTGGTGTGATGATTTGTGTCTGACAATTATCATGATAATTTACGTTTGTAAGGCGCGCTCCATCCGTAGTGGATCACGCAGATCAGGTTATATCCGTACAAGACACTCCATATACAAAAGCATTGGGTTCCGGAGGGAGACATTACAGCAAATACACTTCTGACGGGACCGTCTGTGGCGACTTTTGTGTCCGCTTGTAGTGTGTGTGTGTGTGCGTGGCTTGATATACACAAATTTGATAATTGGTTTTTTACCCTTTTTTCTGGCAACAAAACTGACAGATAAAAGGGTAAAAAAAACAATTATCATATTTTCTCTACTGGCAAATGAGGTTCCAATGATACACAAATTTGGGCCAAATGTCCCCCAAAACAAGGCTCTTAAAAAAGGGGGTTTTGAAGTCTTCGAGTGTGTAAAAATATGAAGACAAAAATATTTTCTGAATTGCTTTGGGTTCCTCCCTAGGTCAGCGTAACCCAAGATGAGAGAGTGGCGAGTGCTGCGTGCTGGTTAAAAAGGCACTGGCTTTGAGAAGGCATCTCTCTGAGCGTGGTGCTGGCATCATCAGACATTCGTACTTGTTGTGCTGACACCTTTGTCAGGGGCCATCCATTTAGTAGGTACGCAAAAATCTGTCAACTTTACCCTCCCCCCCCCCCTCTGTACGCACGCTAACTTTCTACACCCCCCCCCCCGAATCTTATAGAACGGCCGATATTTAATCTACGCAGAAACGATCAAGGATTAATAATATTAACGTGTTTAAACTAACAGATAGTCCACCGCCGGACTGTCTAACTCATTTGAAGGCCAATGTAGACAAATTATTATCGAGGCTTCACCCCCCCCCCCCCTCGTTTCCAATGCGTACGTACTAAATGGATGGCCCCTAAGTGATTTGCGAACAACACTTGGCCACCCGGTGCTAAATGGGGAAACTTTGTCTTTGGGTTCGGGTCAAATGAGAAGTGTCCGCTTTTGGAGGGTGACAGGTGATAGCTTTTAATTATAGCCACAATGGGGAAACACTGCAAAACAAACTTAACAAGGCTATAAGCAAACAAAACTATAAAAAGCAGTCTGCAGTGAAGAAATGGCCAACCATATATGGTTGGAGGCTGTGTTCAAAAGTGGATTCGCAGACCATTTAAAATGAATGTCTTTATTTAACCAGATTACATGTTGAGATCGTGTTGCAAAGAGAAGAGTTTCACACTGATAACACAGCTATTTCCAAATGCTTAATTACTTACATTACTCTACAGTTTGTAACTACCCGCAGAAATTACCCAGACTCAAAATTTTTCCGCACTGTGCAGAATGCCTCAGTGGTCCATGGCACGATAACGCATGATTATAATTATAAAGAGTCATCCTTCTCGAACTACATTTCTCTTACTGCTTCTATTTTACAGCTGATTCACACAGCGTCCGTGAATACGCATTGTGCGACACAGTAATTTCTCAAAAGCTGTACCCTGTACACTTATGTATGTTATACCAGAAGGGACATGTAGTTCAATGGACTCTTGCATAGTTATCAGTCAGGCAATGATTAATTTTATTCACTAAATTGCTTGCGGCTTTCGATGACCAATTTAGCACAGAATGCCCAACACTGGTGGTCGTGGATAATAACAGAGGTCCACTGTTTGCACCATGTGTGTTCTCATTGTGCCTTCGTTTCCTGTATGTTGTTAATATCGAGAAGTTATCGGAAAGGGCTGACTTGGAGTTGTCCCTTTTCACATCCAGAGCTCGCTCATGTGCATCGGTTTTATGCGCGTGCAACTACTGCAGTATACTCTGATGACGCTTGTGTGTTTTGTAGGTCTGTGTCATTGGGGATTTTACGGGGGTGGGTGGGGTGGAACCAGAGTTTGCTTTGAGTTGAACTTGCGCACTTTTTTCTGAGCTTTCACCAGATTATAAATACTGTAAACGAAACCTACTTACCCTACCTATTTGGGTGAGTGACGGTCAATGCTTACGTGATATAATCTGGCGTGGTTGCGAAGATGCTCTTTTGCAGAGTTGTTGGCAATGTTCCAGGTATGCATATTCAGTGTTGCCTTTACGCTTATCTGATTTCCTCTGTTGTAGTTAAAAAAAAACAGTATTATCTCTACTTTTCATTTTGCTTCTTATTGAAAATCGCCAGGAATGGAGAAACATAGAAAGGTCTTTCAGGCTCCGGCAGCCAATTTTTCACTGTATTCGCAAATATCAAATTGTAACTGTTATTGGTTTAGTAATCTATGCTTAGGAAAAAAAAAACCTGTACTTGAATGTATGATTTTGCATGCGACTTGGATATATGCACGTGAACAATATTACAATCGTTAATATGTAAAATGCTTTGCAGAAGTGAATCTTATACCCGTGCTTATCATTAGGATTGCTATTTTTGAGAATCATGTAACATTCTAAGTTTTGTGTTATCTTAAATTTTCTATGGCATCATAAAAAAATACATATTTGGAATGTTGGACAATGAGCGTTCAAAGTAATTGACAGGCCTATAGGATTTCTGGTACTGCATTGATTTCCAATGACAATTATAGTTGCGTTTGTTTCTATAGTGTTCAGAATAATAATTGCTAAACTTGTTTTGAATGCCGAATTCTATTTCATTATATGGTTGTAAATATCCAAAGAATACATATTTTAACCCAAAATTTACGATGCAAAAAAAGCAATCCCAGCTTTGCTATTGAAACTCGAGGCAAGATAATAGCGACCACATCAACAATTGTTTCTATTTTGTAATGTATTAGTTGTACCATTCTGACTTGACGACTCTAGTATTGTCCATGTTTACTGGTATTCTTTAAAACATCAACAGATTTGCAGCTTTTTATAAATCAATAAAAAAAATGTCAGGACAGTACACAACACGGTTATTAAAATACTATTGCTATAATCTCCACATTTGTTTTGTTTTTATATTCTTTATATATAAATTATAATGTTCATTACGAAATATAATGCTTCCGTTTGCTGTAATTATTATTGTAAAGCACAAATGTTGATTGAAATCAGGGGATTTTCATATATGTTAACACATAATCTCCCCCTGGAATTTAAATTGGGATTATTTTTGGTCATGTTAAAAGCAAATGCTTTGTAATTCAACGATTTGTCTCAATATGGCACCACCTACATAGCATACCTTATGCAGCAATACTCACAATGAGACTTTGGCAGACTTGTATTTTTCATTATTCATGCAATTTGAATTCCTTTCATAGCCAAGTAGAATATTCCTGTGTCTGCACTACAACTGCTTTGTGCTATTAAGTACTTAAAATGCTATGCTGGAAAGACATTGCTTTGTATTTTGTCCCATAGTATCCAAGACAATTGTTTAAAAAACGCAAGTATCCTACGTCGTAATTCACCTTTTCACAAATTGACTCCATTCATATTTTAACTGACTCCTGGATGCATACTGATCACCAGTGAGGTATTAACTTAGACTTCTGCATGCAACGACAATGATTATATGTTTTAGCAGAATGTAACACCTCTCTCAGTTTACAGGGCCTGAACTTTCAATTGTAATGTCTGCAATGTTTATGAATTTGGTTAAAATGGATTTGTTCATGACAAAAAATATGGATACACTTTCCACAATTACTGTCGACATTTTGTACAGTGTTTTGTGATATTTCAGGTTAATTAAATTTATGACAGCTGCAATATTGTAATCTCTGCCAGGTTTTTAAAGTGGTGCATCTGTTGCAATATGGTAAAATAATTTCCAGGGATTGAAACGTTTTAACTTTTCAAATATCATCCACATTTTAATACTTTTTCATTGAATGTGGCAATTATCAAGTCAGGAAGACTAAGGTTAGTTTCATTGCTTTTAAAGCTGTGTCGGCTGCCCTCGGCAGATGCTTGCCAAGAATGGGTGCATTATTCCACATGCAGTTGAAAGAAAAAAAGATTGACAGGTATGGCGTCACAATCCCTTTTCTTGTTCCATACAGTGCTTAAAAACACCTTGGTAGCACTTTCACCATGGTCCTTATGGAATGTCCGTGTTTCATTAATACACTTTAACATGCTACCATTTGTTCCATTTGTTAAGGCTAAAGTACAAAATATGCCTTAATTGATTTTTTAAAGTAAAAAATTGTGTTCATCTTGTCACTCGGGGTCTTTAATAATGTCCATTTGCTAATAGCAGCATTTTGTGAATGGCAGTCGGCAGGTGGTGAATTTAAATATGCTTTAAAGTAAGCCGTATTTAACAAATGCCAATGCTCACACCTGGGTCGTCATGCAGGTGGTGTTTTCTTACTGGGCCTCCACAGATCCCAGTGGACCTAGTGACACGGCCTCCAGTGTACGGGATATGCAATGCAGCTGCTTCTGAGAAAGTGAGCTGATTCCATTGCTCGTTTGAGGTTCACTGACTCTGTGTACACTTCAGTAAACTGGGAGCACCGTCTCCTATCTGTCACTGTCATGCCATTTGTTTTGCCTTTTTTTAAGAGCCTGCGTCTCAAAGAGGTCCATTCTGCCTTTTACTGTAACGAAGGGCAAGCGAAAAATACGTCCCCATTCTCCCATGGTTTTGCTAAGTAGTTACTTATTTAGGCTCAGTCCTTGCCAGCTGTCATCATTTTAGTTTTAAGGGTTATGACAATGATTTCATTCCTGTGATGATGAAAATCTTTTTTTTTGTCATGGAAGCTCAAAGTTTGTCTTTTATTGTATTTTTCACCTTGTGTGTCTGCTGAAAAGCCTGTGTGTACGAGCTGTTGTTATGCGTTCACACGGAAATACACACAGGAATAAACATGCGACACACAATCCACATAGAGGCATGGAACAATGCTGCAGTGACTCCACACGCAATCGATGCTTATGCCCACATATACATTACCTTAAATTGTGCATGCACTGGTGTATGCAAATTACAGGCTAATGCAGTGAAAACACTGAATACACGAGACACCAATATTTGAAACGATACTAATGAGAGAAGTATGTATTCCTTAATCCAATCGTTCCCGAAAATCATGACAATGCATCAATTTACTGCTAGAAATAATTGCTTTGTATTCAAGAACCTACAAAGTGTTTTCGCATTTTTTTTTTGATTTTCAAAGATGAGTTGGGTTCGGATTGCTTTTAAATTGGAAACGTATTCGATTAGTGCCACAGTGCTGACAACTGTTGTTGGAGAATTATTACTTGGCTGCATTCAACATACAGGACTGTATAACCCATACATAGTACACGTTTCCCATGCTGCAAACTGCCTGATGCCTGGAAAGCCGAAGGTTTGAGCCATATTTGTTAGTGAGTATCAATATTTTTGTTTGTAACAACCTTGCCGAAGCGCCATTTGCATAATTTATGTAGCACACATTTGTGCTCGTGATAACCATATTTTCTTTTTTCTCCAGACTAATGTTATATTTTGAATAGACACGTTTCTCTTCAAAACACCAACAACAACAACAACCTCATAAGCATTAAAATTCTGTGCACAAGTGACCATAAAGGGAGGTGAGAAGGTCGTGAGTTTGGTCTACTGTCGTGTTAATGCTTTATGCTGTGGTGTTTGCTTTATGTGATTCGGTGTACAAAAGTTTGCTTTATG